TAATAATAAGAATAGGCCTAATAATAATAATCATTCTCATCCTCATCATCATCATAAAACTAATTATAATGAACTAGTAATAATAATAACATGACACTGACAGTATAAATAACGAGAGCTTGCTGTTAATAAGCTTACAAACCATAGCTTTTAATTTTCTAAAAACCTGCAGTCTATTTTTATTGTACGCACCATTACCGACAACCAATCAGTCCTGGATTACACACCACGCAGCAAAGAAGTATTTTGTTACCATAGTGGTTTGTTTTGTCCAGCGGTTGGGGGGGGGGGTCGTTTGTTTTGTTTTTTTAAATTATTGTACTTTAGTCTAGAAGCAGCCCAAACAGGGCGTAACTTTGAACAAAATTGATCTTTTTTATTACCTACGTACTACACATTTTCCACAATAAACCAAGTCTATTATATTATACCTTTTTTTCCTTGTACAACAACGAAGATGACGATGATGACGATGATGATGATGATGATGATGATGATGATGATGATGATGATGGTGATGATGATGATGATGGTGATGATGATGATGGTGATGATGATGATGATGATGATGATGATGATGATGATGATGATGATGATGATGATGATGATGATGATGAAAAGCTGAAACTGGATTTTTCGCTACATCTACTAGAGAGTCGCACCAAAGCTTAGACGAAGAGGGTTTATTTATCAACGGTAAAAGTACCGGAAAAGGGAGTGGGGCAGGGGGGGGGGGGTGCAGAACAACTACTTTTGTTTTACTATTGCATGTACATGTATTCGTATAACTTTCAATGACTTTTCTTCTTTGTTAGGAGTGCTCATCCTCTCATGGACTAACACCCAGGGAGTCGCATTCATGCTCTTTTAAAACTGTACGAAAATCACGTAGGCCCTACATAGCCTCCATCAAGCTGTTCATCAAATTCTTCTATTTCTCAACAAAGAAAGCGCGGTTAAGACTTGTTTTTTTTTAATCACCTTCAATAAGAATTGAGTAGGATGCTTTACAGATTAATTTGTGTTTTTTTTGTGTATTCTGACTTAGATCTAATAAGTATGAGCGCGTGGGGACACATCAACCATTTTCATTTGGTAGGAAATTTTGAATTTTGCCAGTTTGGCAGCCGAAGCCAACTCTTACTGATTTTGGACCCCCAAGGATCTTTAATGTGTGTAACTTGCACATGGGACCTCTCCGAGATTTTCCGCCCTGGTCCGAGAAAGCTAGGTGTAGATCTTTCCTACCATAAAATCAGGGGTGTGGCTGAAAGACAGCAGCCTTGTAAGAAGGAGCCAAGGAGTAGCAGTAGAAAGGCTGCAGAAAGAGTCAGGAGCCCAGAGGAGAGGGCAAAGGAGGTGAAGGGGTGGGGGCAGAAAGTAGAGACGAAAGCAGAATACAGAATATCATTAGAGACCAGGAAAGGAAGTGAAAGGTGAAAATTTTAGAGAAGAAAATTTTCTGTCGTTATCCGGATTCGAACCCGGGACCTATTGAATAAAAGGCGAACACCTTAACCTCTGGGCCACAAGAGCCCCCTAATATACCCTCACTTAAGTTATTATGTGCTCGTTGATATAATATATACAGATCTACATGCCGGTTTTTCATTTGAGATTTCTGTCTTGAGACTCGGAAATTGATTAATAGTCAGAAGACGTTCTTTGATTGTGTGCGACAGGCGTATTCATTGTCTCAAAGCAGGTTTTTATATGACTCTTATAAACTAGAGACCAAGAGACTCATCATACAATCATTAGGGGTTTCTCGTAGCCTGAGGTTAAAGAGTTCACCTCTCATTCAAAAACAACACAAACAATCCTTAAAAACCATCGCTAATCTGGTCAGGAACACACACATAAGCGCGCGCTCTCTCTCTCTCTCTCTCTCTCTCTCTCTCTCTCTCTCTCTCTCTCCCCCCCCCCCTCTCTCTCTCAAAAAAAGAGTGCCGCGCGCGCGGGCAAAAAAAGGTCATCGCCCCCCCCCCCCCCACACACACACCACGTGATAGCGGTCACCTCGAGCAGTTTGCACGAATTTTGTAAAGGGGCGTCACTCATTATATTATCAATAAAAATAGAACAAACACAGTCGCCTCCTATGCAAAGGTTGCAGTTCCTTCGATTTCAATTAGACTTTGCTGACATGGGATTTCATGATCAATGCGGTATAGACGCCTATCAAGATAAATACGACTCGAGAATAAAACAAAAAGATCACATCTATAAGCACAGCCTCAGCAAAAAAAAAGAACAAAAGTTACCAAGGGATCAAAACGAAACGAAAATATCGATAGGCTCTATATGTTAAACTAGCAATGTACCCTTGTATGTAGGTGAAAGTGGCCATTGGAACTTTTTAAACAAATATTTTAAATGTGGATCTGAATAAAACACAATATGATGTAGCACTGTACAGATACTACTTCTCAACGTAGTCTCTTTGAAGATCGAATTGGTTATTCGCTTCTGCGAACCCCTTTCTTGCAAAATGTCAATTCAGAAGCCCAAAAAGATGTACGTCTGACCCAACAAGATCAGGAAAACATTGAGTGGCAATACCTTCCTGACCTCCTGTCATGTCTATTGATCTCCATTGTCGTCCATATTGATGCAGCTCCCTTTCCCTTACAATTTTAATTTTAGTAGATTACGAGAAGCTTTTTCAAGTGCTGAACTTTGTGCATTTCGATAAGTTCTTTGGGACCCGTCCAGCTGACGCTTCTTAATGATACTCCAGTTGCTCACATACATTATAATGAGCTATACAATATAATACGTAATCTTAACATTCAGTTTATATCTTCACGACAAGCGACTCGACTCGCTGAATGTTAACTTCTGACTTTGTGGGTACCTGCCCATGGCTTTTCTTCGAGATTCGCACGTCTATACTGGACACATTGCAACATTCAAATACATTATATGCATTCATGTATCTGATTTTTATATAGCCTATATCTCAAACACAGCGACAAGTTTGATTAAATTTTTCTTGGGCTTTTGTCCTTTTACATAAAAATCATATAGATCCGTGCGCTTCTACCTTTGACCACTACATGTAGTACAGTTACAATTAGTCCTCCCTGGCGGTTATCGTGTTTGATGTGAGGTCGTTGAAGATGCATGTGAATGTTTACAAATTGCTGTTCATTTACATTATGCTTGTGGATGTGGCCTGTTTGTGAGCGCAAACCTACAAGAGTATTATGGTTATGTGCACGGATGTATGCCGAAGAGAAGATAGATCTATGTGAGAGAGTGTGTGCGTGTGTATATGGGTGTGCACATACGCGTGCGTAAGCGTGTTTGTATATTGGTATATATAACAATGTGTGTGTATGTGTGTGTGTGCGCGCGCGCACGCGTGTGTATGTGTATTGAAATACCAAGCAGCGTGTCAGGATCAGGACAATAAAGTTGTATCTTATCTTATCTTATGTTCCGTCATTCAGCAAGCAGTGTGCATTTGGTGTAGCAGCGCGACAAAATGAGTCACTCGTCGCACTCAGCTGTTTCGAGATATCTAACAAAACCTCGATCATCTTAGGACTGTGTGTTTATCACTCCTCAACTTCTATACTTTAGAACCAACGCGGCTAACTAAATTCTGTTTTCACCCACTGGCAGGACTTGGACATACAGTTGTATATATTTAATCTGATTTCCACTGTCCATGGTGCTATAATATTGTTGAGATGCTATATGAGACTCATTTTGTTGATTTGCTGCACTATTTACAAATTACAAAAAGGTCTGCCACTGCTAATTTCTCCAAATACGATTCAAGTTATCCTTGTAACTGCTTTCACTGCCACGAGACTTTACTGCATATATAATTGTAAATCAAATACCATTTTCCTCCTTGGGTGTGCCATTTCTTTCTTTTTTTTTTTTTTTGGTAAGTGTTTTACGGCGCTCGCAACTGCATAAGTTCATATGAGCGCGCGGGACACACCAAACATTTTCAGTTGGTATAGGTAATTTTGAATTTTGCCCGGGAGGCGGCCAAAACCTACTCTTATATATCGATTTTAGTTCACCAAGGGATCTTTAACGTGCGCAACTTGCACACAGGACCTCAGAGATTTTTCGCCCTTGTCCGAGCAGACTAGGTGTAAATCTTTCCTACGGGAAGATCAGGGGTGTGGCAGAAAGACATCAGTAAGAAGGAGCCAAGGATCGAGTAGCTGTAGAAAGGCTGCAGAAAGATTCAGGAGCCCAGAGGAGGGGGCAAAGGAGATGAGGGGGTGGGGGCAGAAAGTGGAGACGAAAGCAGACTACAGAATATTCAATATTGCGAGCAAGCAGGAAAGGAAGGGAAAGGAGACAATTTTTTAGAGCAGAAAATTTTTCGGTCGCTACCCTGATTCGAACCCGGAACCTTTGAATGAGAGGCAAACATCTTAACCTCTAGGCCACAAGAGCCCCTTGTGCCATTTCGCACAAAACGGAGAGCCCTGCTGGTTCCAGGGGAAGATACTTTTTTTCTGTCAATTCAGAGCGTCTTCTAGATGTTTCCCCACTGCTATATGATCAAGATTATGTCAATGTATTTCTCATTGATCCAGACAAAACTAAACAGATGTAGCCTACCACTTCTTCAGTTTTTCTTTGTTTTTCTTTCATCATTCATGGTTGTGCATGATATTTGCTTTAACATTTCGATTTAATTGAATGAAAATGTCAGCGACTCAGTCAGACAGAGCGGTCACAATTAGGAGTGTGCATATATATAATATATGACCTATGCTTATGTCTTGGTAGCAGATAAAGGTTATTTTTCACTATTTGTTACTTTAGTTTCATGACGTACTTTGTCTTCTGGCCAACTCTCTAGATCTAATTCACAGATCGAGGATGTGGTCAAACAAAATATAATAATAATAATGATAATAGTTCGTCCAACAATGTCTAACAATGACCAATGCACCTGCAAATGTTTGAATGAAGATGCAAAGTAGTAAGATAAGTTTGGTAGAGATAACAAAACAAATTTCTGAATTCATCAACTAGATTTATTTGAAACAAACATACGGACAAGAACATAATAGTGCATAGCTTTCTCAAACCTTAGTATCTAAGATATCAGAGAATCATATCAAAAGTTCTCTGATCTGTTGTTTCCGTTTACATAACCACTTCGGAAAAACACACTGTCTCAGAGCATGTACAGCTTAATGCTTCTTGGTGGTAAGCTTCACACGATGATTCCTTTTATCCAGTCAAGGAAATGTGGAATTCAGAACGTTTCACATTTGGTTGAAACTTAAAAAATGAACTACTCACAAAAAGCTAGTTTGTTGAAAATGTGACACACAGTTGTAAATATGCTCACAACAAGCAGGGAAAGTGAAAAATAGAGCAAGTCTTTTCATTTGTATAGTAAAATTCAGTTTGAATGCCCCTTGTCTATATATCACTTTTGTCCTTAAAGATTTTTGTATTTAATACTGAAGTGACACTGTATACATATATATGTCGGTTCGTGTGAATGCTGTACACATGGGGGGAAGACACGTGAACGTTCAACAGTTAGAGTGAAGCAGCAGTTTAAATGTCATTCTGAGTTTGTGAAGTTGAGTGACGCAATAAAAACATTACAGCTGTTGTTTTAACACAGCAATTTGGAAGAAAAAGATCAATATGTAGAAGAAACATTTTGTGATTACAGAACAGCTATAAATATAAGTGTTTGTCCCCTTCACAAGTGGCCATGCAAGAACGTTCATTGCTCTACACATATACACAAATCATTTTGAGACTACAATTACAAATACTATAATCTAAACATGAAATAAAAACCTCGTCTTCGGTCATTTAAATCCAGGACGACTATGTATACTTTCAGAGCTTGATTCAGTTTTATATACAAGGCATGACAATGCAAGTGAAAAAACAACATTTTGAAAGTACTGTTTATTACAATATGATTTCATTCGGTCAACCTCACAAAAATCCAAATTTATGATGAGTTAAATAGTTCGTGAAAATTGTATTATATTTAAACTAAAATATTGTTACTGAATATGTAATCACTTCCAATGAAAATACAAAATCAGTGAGAGATCAAAACATAAATCAAGTACCTGCTGGCAGGCACAAGAAAGTATTCCTTCAAGATGCATTTCTCACGGCTTTGCTTGAAAAGACTGGATACTGCTACTTCCAGGAAAATAAATCTTTTCATGATTGGCTTAAAATGTAAGAGACAGTGATGTAGACTACACCACTTTTCATTATCAAGAGCTTACCGATTAAAAAAGGTTCGAATTAGGACAAAGTGTTACATTTGTACACTGGACATGATGTAAATGTGTTTTAAAAAAACCAAGAGACAGAATGTGCAATAAAAATAAATAAATGAAAAAGCTTCTAAATGTACTGAGTAGGACATTAAAGAAAACAGCTATGGCTACTTCTTAATTCAATTAAAACAAAACATAAAATGTGCATTTAAAAATATTTATCAGCTATCAGGAGTAATGTAAACCACAAAGATAAAAAAAAATCTTTGCACACTGGAGTTGCCAACATTCAAGTGAGGAGGGGAGAATTAGCTTCTGCCTGGCCAAGAGAAGTCCGAAACAGAAACAAGAAGAGGATCATATCTTTCCTACCCTGAGTCACTGGAGACAGATGTTCATGACAGATATGAATGTGTAGTGAAATCATCACTTCATGTAACACTGAGTTGAAAACAACTAACAAAAAAGAAAGCAAAATATAAACTCTGACAATAAATGAGGAAATACAAAATGAAATGAGATTGAGGGGGGGGGGGATGAAAATGGAAAAACATTTATACAATACAGACCTACAAGTGTACACAAATTCCAAAAGACATGATCACAGGTACAAAGCCCCAAGAAGGCAGGGGGATATAATAGTCTACTATACTGCCTTGACATTAGAGGTGCATTTCTCCCATATTATAGGTGGGATATCACATGTAGACAACAGATTCTCTTGTGTAAGGGTAACATCCTCCCACTGTACTTTGTCTTCTGGCCAACTCTCTAGATCTAATTCACAGATCGAGGATGTGGTCAAACAAAATATAATAATGATGATAATAGTTCGTCCAGCAATGTCTAACAATGACCAATGCACCTGCAAAGGAGAAAGCAAATAAGAAGAAATAAGGGTTAAGAGAGGACTTGAGGCTTTTGCTATGTCAAATTTGATTAATTCTGACAGAGAAAAGCTCCCCTCATTTTGAGCATTTATAAAGCTTCATTTCCACTTGTTGATATGTGCAGCTTCTCAGGCTTCCTTCTTACACACACTGTGACTGCAACTCTCCAAGTGGTCTGTCAGGAGCAAGGCTCTTCCATATCATAGGATTAATGTTGAAATCCTTCAGAGACATTTTCATGGTGTCTTTGAAGCACTTTTTTGGTGCACCAACATTACGCTTTCATGAGGACAGCTCTGAATAGAATACTCAATACTGCATTTGGACAACAGCTTTGGTTGAGTAAAATATATTGACCAGAGAAATCCCAAAATACATAGACTTCCATCCAAACAATTCATTTCACATTTCAATCCTAGGTACTTAGCAATGATACTGATATGATCGCAGATATTAAGATGACCACAAATACTCAGGCACAGCAAACAAGCATTGAAGTGATAAACAGAGAACTGAATCTATCTATTGTCCTGCTTGAATCTTCTTTGTCATTAAATTCTCACCCTTCTTGATTGACCTTCATTTAATCACCCGTTTCATGATCTGGCACATACATACCAGATAACGGTAAACAAAATTAACTTACAAATAAATGAAGAATTTAACAATAGAAATTGACTGTACAAGTTAGGCTATATACAATGGAAATATATATTTGTATAAATGTTACTCGGTGTGACATCTATTGATATGTAGACTAGAAAAAATGATTTAAATACACACTTGTTCAGAAAAATTAGAAACTCTCTGAAATAGGCCTACATTGTTACAAAACCAGGATTTTAGAGTGATTCAATATGAGCTCTGAGGACCAGACAATCAAAATCCAAGTCACAATCCTACCTCCCTTTCACCTCAGACAGCGTTTCATCAAAAAACATGTACCTCAACCACTCTTTTCCTCACAATACAATCATCTGAGAGGCTAGCTTGACTCCTCGTCCCAACTCTGCAACATTTAGGGGGATATGGGAACTATGGAGGCGGTGTAAAAAGAGCTTAGTTACACAAACCCTCTGACTCTGAGGATTTTTTGGTACAACAACAGGTTAATTGAATTTGAAAAAAATCCTTTTAAAAAGTCACTTTCCAACTTTTGTTTGTTTTGTTTTAGAAGAGGTTTTACGGCGCTCACAACTGCATTCCAACTTTTGTGAGTACGAGTAAAAAAACCAAAAACATAATTGCTTAACATGTTGATTTTTCAATAAATGGCAACCGATGAATTGGAAAAAAGAACAAACACCCTTCAACCTGAAAATTTTATCCCAGTGATGTTTTTTGTGTGAGATGCCTCAGAATAGAGCAACACAAAATAAATGTCTTACCATTTCTTACTTGAAAGGAGTCAATCCATTATTCACTTTTTATTTCATTGCATGTAGAGGAATATATTGATGTTCTTTGAACTCTTACCAAATATGAGGTCATATTTAGTTTAACCAGAACTTGTCCACTATCATTATTTTGACATTTTAAAAAAGTTTAGTAAAAATATGCGCCCTAACGCGGTGGATTCAGACGTTTGTCAATTTTAAGGTGCGTTGACTTTTTTGTATCATCTTAAAGTTTGTTCCTTTGTCTTGCTTCAATGAAAAAAATACCTATTTATCTTGAATAAAAGTCGAGATATATGCGATTGAAAGAGGTGGGGGTAGAATAGTTTCAGAGGTAAAATTAATGACAGAATGGCCACCATAGTTTGGTTGATTTCATAGTTTGAGAGTCTGCGGAAACTGAAAAATTTACATTTGTTATGCACTTTAATTGACATTTGTTAGTAAAGTCAAAATAGAGTTGTGTTCTTAAACGAACATAAAAGGTCTTGAGCCAATTAAACCAATCAGGCAGAAAAATCCTTGTTTCTTCAATTTCATTTTTTCAACAAACACCTGATTTCACTCCACTGCCTCACATACGTGTTTGTTTAGCCCGTTTTCAATCTTGCCTTTAAATTTACACAAACACAAGCTCTACCAAGCCATATCAAGAATCATTTAAGAGCACTGATTCAAAAGTGAGAAAGATTGAACCAAACGACAATGCCATCTTTAATCAAAAGTAACAATAGTGGTGTTTTTAAAAGCATGTGAAGTTTATGTTCTGTTTTGCCATTGCGCCAAGAACAAAGCCAAGACAACAAATTGAAAAGTATTTTATCCTGTCTGATGGGGAAGACCTCTTTATCAAGCCTCAACACTGGAAGCATCACCAACATCCCTATCATAAAGTCATGACTTTACAAAAGTATGGCCATATTATGTCTTCAGATCTTAACGCAAAAAAACCCTCAATTTCAATACCTCTGCACAAATATGAAGAAGATATAACTGCAAGCAAAAATAACAACAATTCGTATTGTGTTGGACAGTGGAAAATCAGGCACTTATGGTGAAGTGACATTTAATACTTTCGTGCAGTATTCAATAACAAGTGTGATGTAAATATAATATAATATATATATCATAAAGGGATAATGCATATATGAAATCCAAACATAGGCCTATTGTTTAAAAAAAAAAAAAAAGATCCCAAGCAGAAAGCTTACTTAATAATACCTTATTGACTACTGTTCCTTGCTCTCTTGTCCCTCATAAAGGGACCTTTCTAGGTTTAGCAAACTCATACAAGTTTCTATTACAGGCATCCACAGTGTAATGGGTCGCCTTTCCGTTTTGCATGCAGGGGATGGGAGTTTGATTCCCATTCGGGGAAGAAATTTGACTGCATATTAGTGTCTTCCTGCTGGGATATATCCCACATCTGTTGTTGACCTAGATAAGTAGTGTTATAGAGGCCTGTCCCTTAAACACTCTAAATTATATTGATTGGGAGGGGGGGGGGGTGTATGTGAGTGTGTGAGAAGTATGTAGGAGAAAATGCTGCAGTAAAAGCTTTACATATCTCCTCAAACTGAAGACACTGAGCTACTCTTCAGAATTCTTATCTGCACTTACATAAGTAGAAATTAAACCTGAATTCTTAGTGTTCATTTACATTGCTGCTGAATCAAGTTTAATTTCTACACCCACAAGATGCAATGCCAGTTTTTGTGGATTGTTGCCATTTTTATTGTCAAATCCAGAAAAAACTTAACAAATAAAAAATTGTCTTGAATATTTGTATGAAAAGATACCTTGTTATCAAGCTAGAGAGCTGTGAAGAAGAGTCGCCGATATTATAATAGGTTTCTATAAAAATTTCCGAGAATAACTTAGCATCTTTTTTACTACACAAATTACGCTATACAGAGATACAAAAAGAGTACACAGTTCTTCAAAATTGTGACATTTGAAACACAGAATAATACTTCTCGATATAGTTTTTAACCATATATTATATAGAAATGAATCTGTTTTTTTTAGGAAGAAAACAAATAGTATGACCTGAGGTTTCATATCTATCCTTATCTTTACCTTTGCGTATGAAAGTGCAAATGCACATTTTGAAAGTTAGATTCTGAAGAATGCGATCTATTCACATTGATAAAAAATTGAGTAAATTTGTGTTGTGTTATCAGAAAACAAAAGCTTGATTGTAAGTGTAAAGTTGTGTACAAAAAGAGTTTAATTCCGTAAAGGGCTATCTAATACTGGAATTTTGACTTAACGTACACGTCCAACACATTTGGTCTCTTCTAAACCAAAACAACCATTTTGCGTAACTGTCCAATTTCTTTCCTCAGCTGGTCTTCCAACAATTTCCTCTTGCCTTCCATGACAGTTTTCATATTGCTGATGCTTTCATGCACAGTGGCAAATCCCTCACGACATTCTCTCTTCAGCCTGGCAATCTCCTCAGAATGTTTGTGTACAGTTTTGTCTATTTTCGTGAGAAGCTTGGTCTCCAATGACTGCAGAAAAAAAAAGGAAATGAATAGGTTTGCTCAACAACATCATGAATACTTTGGCAAGTGGGTTTACCATAAATTTTAGTACAGTTAGGGAAGTGTTTCTAGTAAATTTGGCTGGAGTAAAAAGAGGGGACGTTGCATGGCATGCTTTTTTATACAAAAGCCAATTTGGGACACAGTTCTTTTTTAAATGGAACAGTTTAAATGGAAGTTTAACAGAATTTTCATTTATAGCAATATGTGAGCAGCTTATCTAGGTTGTGAAGCAGATACTAAAATACCCAAATTAAAACACTCGCAAAAAAACCCACGAAACAATACACTAACTTCTCCATTTCCAGGACAGAATCAGACTATTCTTTGCTATAAAAATGTGTGTAAGTTCATTCATTATTTTGGAAAGCAAATTATATATTATGATATTGCACATCAAAACATACATCAGATTAAACACGGGCACAGAAACACATACAACAAAGAAAGCCAACTCAAACACTCAAAATCACAGATTTCTCGAACTGGTTTCTTGGTCTAGAAGTTTTCCAAGTTACAACTTACGAGATTTATCTTTGGCTTAAAACAGGTGCAAGGGGTCATAAAAAGAAAAATATACACATTGGTTGCAGGGATCAGAGGATGTGGTCCAAAAGAGTTTGTTATAAGTATTTATACAACTATTTAAGAGTAGGCCTAAAAATAATGATAATTCGATTGGCAGGCACTATATCTATATCTATATTATATTGAGAAATCAGTTATTCAAATTTGGAAAAAACAGTAAACATGGATTAAAAATGATACATTGACAAGACAATAAGTTCCCTGAAATTTGAAATAAATCACTGTAAACATATATTACAAGGGGAGCTTTCTTTGAGCACAGCATGGGCAGACAACAAACATTAAAAAAATATTGCATTTGTTAAAATAAGATAGTGAAGTTTAATGTTCAGGGAATCCCACTTTCTCCTTATCTCTGAAAAGCCCCCTTGTATAACATTATTAACATACAGTCAAGAGAAAAAACATTATTTAGTGTAAAATCTTACCAAATGAACATCATTCATGTGATTCCGTGATTCCAGCAGAGCTTCCTCCAACTTGGCAATTCGAGCATCTGTCACATACTGGCCTTCATCAATTTTTTTACCCAACTTTTCCTACAAGGAAGAAAACCCAAGAGAGAAGAAAGATTCAGTTCATTCTTTAAATACCAGATGACAACAAATATATTGTAAACTATACAAAATTAGTTTTATGTAGAGTATCTAATCTGGGAATATGGAGTAACTGCAAAGTTTCTGATGGGATGGATCACATTAGCAAAAGCCTCATACCCTTACTTTCATATCCAATTTATGGCGTTTAACAAAACAGGCTATCCCAATTGTTCATTTAAGAAAGAAAATAATACCGTTTTATGAAAGCATGAATAATTTTTAAATTATGATCCTTTTCTGCCAATATGCAAAGTTTTTCAAGCAAACTTTTTGAATTTTGAGAGTCTAAAACAGAAAAACAAAATTCTCAGTACCTTAAATTTATAGTTCACACTACTGAAACAACCAATAAACCCACTAAACACAATGCAAAAGTGCTGGGTTATTAAAACCTCTAAAATCTGCAAAGCAATACTAAATGTAATCCAACGATTCTCAAAGAACCTCACTCTCAACAATCTCTGACTCCAGTTTATGATCTTTTAACATAGTATCCAAGAATCGCAGGTGGTAATTCAGCATTTTGAAAGTACCACAGTCACTAACCATAACTAGGAACTGTCAGTTCAAGAAACAATCATAGCTATGTTCGCATAAAATGAACAAAATTAATGTAATTTTGTATATGACACTTTTTCCTCTTCCTTACAGGCAACTTAATTTTAAAATTGAAATATGTTATAAAGTGTTCCGCCCTAATTACCGATCGGTACAACTGTTATGTTGAAGGCTAGCACAATAAGAAAAACACATGCAAAATCCATGAACGGGTGTTCTGAGACTTTCTTTGTTTAATTGACCTACATTGCATAACACACAGGCGGGTAACACCGACTTGAAATACTAATACCGTACTTGGTGTGATAACCGTATTTAGGACACTACATCCCTCCTAGCCTTGAATGGTTACTTCATTTAAAATCATCTTTTTTCCTTAGTGTGGAAGAACTGATGTACAGCAACTTCTTTAGCTATTTATTTAGTAGTTGATTGAAGGGGATGGACATCAAAGAGGCAAAATAAAATGTTTGTTAGTCGATGGACATAGAGCGGGTTTGTTGTTGTTGCTTTTTAAAAAAAAAAAAAAATATTAGTTTTAACTTTAACAAGAGGTAGATGTACATGTGATGAAAAATAATAAAGGAACATCACGATAACGAATTTCAGCGAGCTCTTGATCTTATGCTAACTTAGGTGATAGTTCTTGATTATTTTACTTACGATGAGATTGACAACAAAAAAACAATCTAGACGGCTAGTCTGAAATTAGAAGTAAATAAATTAATAGAGTGAACGTGGAACGGATACATAATATGCACCAAGATTTCTCTGCTTACACTACAGATACGAAACTGTGCAAAGAATCAGAGTACACTGGACACAAGACAAAACAGAATACACAGAGTTAATGAGTAGAAAATTTGTTGGGCACGATTACAATGTTCATGTTTCAATTTCAGCTTGACGAATGTTCATTTGGTCCGAAATGTCCTTCATTTTCAGCTAATCAGTACCGGAGTAGAGTTAGTCACATAGTCGTTTAGGTATCCAGGACGCTTACGGTGGCGTTGGGGACGTTCAGTAGCGATTGGTTCATTGGTAGTAGTTGGGTTTTGACTGTCTGCTGTTTCATTCGAAGCTTTATTGTCCTCATCCTCCTCTTCTTCCTCTGTTGAGTTTGTTGGGTTGGACGATTTCAGAGTATCAGGCACTCTTTTGAAGAATGAAGTGTTTCTAGTCATGTTTTTGCCATTGCGACTGGCGGTGACCATTGGACCTTTCTTTGAGGTTACTTGGTACGGATCATGGTCATAGAACGATGACAGTTTGTTTTTGTAGGGTTGACGAGCGAGGACAGTGTCTCCTACTTGTATGTCGGAATTTTGGGCATGTCGACGATCGTCAGCGTACCGTTTTGCTGCTCCCTTTTTGTTGGTGTCATGTTGATGAATGTCATTGTCAGTCGTTGGTGGTATCATGAGTGAATCTATCTGAGGTAGTTTCACTCTGATGTTCCGTTTGAACAGAGCTTCTGCTGGGCTCACACCAGTGCTGATGTGGGGGGTAGCTCGGTAATTCCTCAAAAAGTGATATAGTTCTTGTTTCCAAGGCTTGCCTTCAATGTGTGCAGACTGCACTGTTTTCTTGAGCATTCGCATGCATCTTTCAACACCACCATTGGCTTGGGGCCAGAGAGGAGTTATTCTGCGGTGTTTACATCCTAGCTGCGAAGCAAACTGTTTGAATTCGTAGCTGGAGAAGGGTGGACCATTGTCAGACTTGACGGTGTGTGGGACACCATGACGAGCGAAGATGGAGTCAAGTTTTGGGATCGTGGCTCTTGCACTGGTAGAGGACAGGATTTCTACTTCTGGGAAACGTGAGTAGTCATCTATGACAACAAGTAGATAGTCACCAGAAGGGAATGGTCCACAGAAGTCGATACTAACTTCAGACCAAGGTTTCGTTGGCAAAGGAGTCATTCTTTGTGGTTCAGAATGGTGTTCTGGAATTGTTGACAGGCATGCTAGACATGATTTGACGGTGTTCTCCACTTGACGATCAATGTGGGGAAACCAAACTTTTTCACGCAGGAGTTGTTTAGTCTTAACGATGCCTTGATGTCCTTCATGAGCAATGTTGATGACATGCTGTTGCAATGATCTAGGGATAACGATTTGTGTGCCACGCAGTAAAATTGTTCCGTCTTTGTGAACAGAGAGTTCTTCACGAACAGTTTTGAAGACTTGGTAACTGGCAGCATCTACAGTGATTTCAGGCAGCGTGTGCCAATGATCTGTTTGAACAGATGTGATGACTGCTTGGAGTGTTGGATCGCTTTCTGATGCGCTGGCAATTTCTTCCAGAGTCATGGCTTTAGGGACTGAATGACCGGCCATGAAGTTGACATAGTCGTCTGCGATTTTAGCCATATGAAAGGAGGTCATGTTGTTTTTCTCAAAAGGGTGTCTGCTGAGGAAGTCATCTGGATTATTCTCTCCTGGCTGGTAGCGTAGGGTGAAGTCGTAAGGTTGGAGTCTGAGATTCCATCGTTCAATTCTTGCTGAGGTTCTGGATGTTGTGCTGTTGAAGATTCCTTCAAGGGGTTTGTGGTCAGAGATTACTGTGAAGTGTTGACCAAGTAAGTACAGGTTGAAATGTTCACACGCCCAGACGACGGCAAGAGCTTCTCGCTCGGTTTGAGAGTATCGTGACTCGACATCAGTCAAAGCACGACTTGCGTATGCCACTATGTGAACGTTGTTGTTGTCACGCTGTGAGAGAATGCAGCCAAGTCCAAATGGACTTGCATCAACGGTGATCTCAGTGAGGAGATTGGGGTCAAAGTAGGTCATGACTTTGTCACAGGTG